TATTTGGAAACTTCATTAATCAAATACATGATAGCTAATGCCTATTTTCATACTTTTGAAGGGTTAAAGTCTTTCACCACAATGGATCATTGTACTTCAAGAAGATGTTTGATAGATTGTATCAGGTTAATAATAGTCTTACTTATTTGCTTTTTTCTCTTTTCTGGTCCCAAACCAATTTGCTTTGCCTGCTTACTTCTTTGTTCACTCCTCTGACAGGTTGATTGGAAGCCAGAATCAGTTGAAAAATTTGGTGGCATTGAAGACCTTGTGAAGGCAGTTGGCTCGGTGAAAATAGATGAAGCTAAAGTGCCAGGTTCCTCCTGTTTAAATCTAGTAACAAAGTTTGATGTAATGCCCATTTACTTATTATAATGGGAGCTGAAACCAAAATGTCTTTATAGGGAAAGGATCAAAAGCTACCCAGGCCGTTCCAAAAGCTACACAGGCTGTTTCAAAAGCTGCTCAGGCCATTCCAAAAGCTACACCTGCCAATCCTCCTGCAGCAAAACCTGCTGCTTATCGTCCACCTCATGCCAAGGCCGCTGCTGTAGTTCAAGCAGAGGTATGGAATGGATACTTTATTGAGTACTTATTACTTTTTTCTTTTTGACAAGTCAAGGTGTGTTCAGTAAAAACATGCGATTGCTATTCAATATGAAAATTTTCTATGAATCTGTTGCTTTTAATTGCTATTCAATATGAAGATTCTCTATGAATCTGTTGCTTTTAACTACATTCTTATACAAAATACTTTCTTCAGCATTCTGAACGTCATGCCTGGGCCAGTTTTTACACTGGCTGATTAAATCTCTTTCTAATGCCCATTTCCCAATGGAGAACACTGACGTTATGAGTATGCCATTACAATGTCTAAACGACATTATATTAATGATATGGTAGGTTTCAAATATGATGAATTATTCACTAGTGGTGTTTTCTGCACAGCCATTATCTTTGTGAAGTAAACCGATCTTTTATACAGCAACCATAATATTTTTGAAGTTGGTTCCCTTATAAGTACTCATCCTGTAAGATTATATTGTAGCCAGGTTCCAAGAAAGTAATGGTGTTTTTTAATGGTTTTGCTATTGTCAAGATATTCTTTTATTTGACAAGGAATATTTTGAGAAGGATCGTCAAGATATTCTGCATCACAATTTGACTAAGTAACCTTAACCCCATACACCCCCTCTTTGGAGACAACATTATACTCATAATGGTTAATGCCATGTCAATTTTTAATTGGATTTTATGTGCATTAATAACTGTACAAACTAGTGTGCAATGGTACAGCAACAGGATAGCCCCTCAATTTTTTTTGTTTGCTTCATTTATGCTCCATAAACTGCATTTTGACCTATCGTGAGTCTTGTTAACCGTAGTTCTTTGTTTTTTGATTTTTGTGCTTTTGTATTTTTTTGATTTCATTATTTTGTTTTGTTTTTTCTTTGTTTGTTTGTTTGTTTGTTGCTTTCTTTGTATACTCCGTCATGCACCCACCAGAAGTAAGCTCTAAAAAACCCCTCTTTTTAATCTGTCCAACATGACTTGTTTGCGTTGACCCTGCACTTGGCAAAATAGGGTTTTTACAACCTGTGAACCTAAAACTGATGTAGCATAAGTTTGGATCTTCATGTATTAAATATAAGGAAGGAGGTTTCTTGCTTTTTGGACCTGGAAGTTATGGCCGAAAGAGAGGTGAAGGTTCTCTTGGAGGCTTACTTCGTCTATTAATGGCTTTGACGATGAACTGTCTGATGGTATGTTTCTGGGTATAGGAGTGATTGTTTGAGATATAGAGCAAAATATAGCTAAATGACTGCAATAACAGGTACATAACTATTTTTCAGAAAAATGGAAAACGAGATGACAAAGGTGAGGTTAGACAGTCTCTGGTTCCGGAAGAAAATGTACAAGTTGTGAATCTAATTGTAACTCATTTTCATTATTAACTAAAAGTAGATAGTACTTATAGGTGGGGCTGACCGGCTGGAACTCATCAAATATTAGAATTTTGGCACTTCTTGCTTGATCTTCTCTCTTCTTCTTGCTCTGGCGAGATAATCCTATACTTTTCAAATATGTTCTCGCTCACTGATCTCTACCCCCATTTAGATTAGAAAAGCTTTGTAAGGCTTCCGGAACTGAAAGTCTGCTTTTCTGAATGGACTGTTCTTTTCAGGATTTGGATAAAAAATACTTAAGCTAGGAATTCACAGTGAATAATATAGGTTCTCTCAAGATTTCTCCAAAAGTTATTCCCAACACAGAGCTTTTGCACAAAAAAGAAGTTAAAACTGCATTATGATATAGTTAACTTTACATGAAACACTGTGATGATAAACATGCAATGTGGTAATGACGCGATGGTTTACGAGCTACTTTCAGAATGTCTAAAGTCTAAATATGTCAAACTGTCATCTGAAAGTTCATCCATGCATTATTTCCAGTTCATCTTTGATTCCCCCCCGATTTAGTTTGTACAACTAATGTGCTGATAGTATGCATCTGTTTCATTTTGACAGTTATTTGGAGGAAGTCCTTCAGGGTAAGCTTTCAAGATACATGTTCATACTTTTTCCAGTTTTCTCGGTATATTTTTGATGTTCAAACCTCAAAACTGTTGAGTGACTGTACGTCTTTTCCTTATTTCACATGAATGTAGGGAGCTTAGCAAGAATGCATTGAAAAACAAGAAAAAACGGGAGAAGAAAAAGCAAGCTGAGGCTGCATCTGCAGCTGGAGGTTCATGATCAGAGGCAACTCTACCGAATAGGCCGTCTTGACATGCACTAAGGGGCCTAAAGCAAGAGGAGGTTTTCATGGACCATCATACATCCTGGAGACATTTGATTTGGTTTAATATTATCGAAAATATGACGTAGTACATTACATAAAGCAAATTTTTGATTCATATATTCTTTTTAAAATATAGTTTTCAGCCCCCCTGTACTAGAGCTGAAACAAAATTTACCTTTTGAGTCTAACCCTGGTGCTGGATCAATGGATCTGTTTGAGCTGCTCATCAGATAAGTAGGTAGTGACAGAAGGCAAGATTTTTTTTTTTTTGTTTTTTGTTTTGTTGTGTTACTACAAATCTTGTTACCTCAACTCGACTCGTCTCCATTGTATCAATACTGTAACATACAAATGATCATCTAGACATCTCCGACAAAAAAATATGTGCACACTGACATAAGGAAATATATTGAAACATTAAATGTATCCCAAACATACAACGAAAGATAACAAGAAAACAATCAGGAAATTAACCATGTAATTCGATGCGCGGAGATACGATGTCTCTGCGTGAGATAAAAATTGACTAGAGAGGATTATGAGATAACCAACGTCTCAACATAGTCGAGCACTCAGAAGGATTTTGACCAATTCGACTTTCGAATTGGGATTTAGATTAACCTTTTTTGTAATAGTACACCCATCATCTCAAAATCCTGAATACGTTTTTGCAATCACACACGACAGGTTGACAAGGAAAAATCCTCTCCTTTGGGGAAAGAAATATCTTACAATCTCAATCCTTACATTTGTTAGCTGCTATGAATCCCATAAAGATAGTTTTAAACAGGTTGAAAGATAACTAGCTAGATTCTTTGGACGCTTAATGCTAATGGATCCTTATCTACTGCTCCTCATTGGGAGACCACTAGACAATCACAACCCAAAAATTCATATTCAAAAGATCATAGAATAAAGTTTTCCCTTTCAAAATGTCTATCTTATCATGGAGGTTGCTTAAAATAAACTTTTTTTATGAGGTCTTGAATAAATTCAATAAAGAGTTCTCCTCTATATGCATTTGTTGTCGAACCCTGTTGATGAGATAATGTTATACCTCGAGCCTACACCCTGAACATGATCGACACTTGAGAATCATTGCTGATAACCCTGAATATCTGTATCTGCATCATGAAACGATATATTCAAAAAAGTTCTTAGATTAAAAAAAAACAAAAACTTCCAGTAAAATTATATTTAAAAAAGTTCAAGTATGCATTCCACAAAAATCTCCAATCAAATTCACAATAATAAAATCCCAAAGTAATTCTACAAGTAAAAAAATTCCCAAGTAAATCCTCAAGAAATAAATTCCCAACAAAATTCGTAGAGCATAAATCTCCAGGTAATACCACATATAAAATTATTTCTAAACAATTTTTTAAGTAATTATTTCTAGCTGAATCGGCAAATAAGTTTATTTAGAAATTTTCTTTCAAACAAATTAAAAAATAGTTTTTTTTTCATTACTTGCGATTTTACCTATGAAAATGGTACTTGCAAATTATTTGCTCCAAATAATTCTCCAGGTAATAATTTTCCAAAAATAGCGCCAAATATACCTACCAATTTTTCAGGGGAAATATTTTTCGCAGGTAAAAAAGTCCAGAATTTAGGAATCTCATATTTTTGGATGAAAATTCATAGGAAATTTCTGCAAAAATAATTCCCAAGTAAAATCTCGAGGTAATTTACAGTTTTCTAGTAGTGTTAATACATGAATTAATACATGAGTAACTTTTATACAACATTTAAAATCTTACCAATCAAACATGGTATAAGTTATGTTGACTTTTATACCTAATACAAAACTTCTACCAAACATAATAAAGCTAATACAATTTTTTATACATGAGTAAGATGTCTCTTAAACAATAACCAAAAGACCCTAAATTATTGAACCAAAAAAATAGCAACTCTTAGCTATTGAGGTCCTACACTTTTGAGAGATGATCTCTTAGCTAATAGCTAGGAAAATCTCAGTGGGTTATTTTTTTTTTTCTATATATAAATAAAATATTATCTAAAAATTATTTATAGGAAACTGATGTGACTTGTGAGCTGTGAGGGCATAATATATTTTCCATATAAAGTAGTTTTAGTCCATTTCAACAAAAAGCCCGACAATAATTTATTGTTGTCTTTTTTTTTTTTTTGGTCAGAAAGGAGTAAATAGCATATAACCAAAAAAAAAAAGTTTACAGGGTCAAAAGTTGTGGCTGTGCCACTACAGAAATAACGGAACTAGCAGATGATGTATGTACAACCTGCCTAGCCGAACTAGTATTAAACATTAACCTACTGGAGTGGGACGCAACCTGCACTCTTCTACTATACAGCTCTCCATTCTTGTCAGCCCGCAAAATATCCGTCAAGGATGCTGGAGAGTTCCAAAACAGCATAGTGTTGTTATCCACAAAAATAGTAGTTATGGCGACAGCAACTAAAGCATCCGCTAGTTTATTTTGTTCCCTGTAAACATGACTAACCCGTGTATCACCCATCCTACGGAGGAGGTACCTGGAATCAATTAACAAAGGAGAGTCATGAAACAAAGGTGAGTTTAGCAGGTGCACCAACTGTAGTGAGTCAATGTTAATTTCCAGATGCATTATCTCATATTGCAGAGCTAAGGCGAGACCTAGCAACAGAGCCCGCATTTCTGTCTCAAGAGGCTTTGAAGTAGGACAAGTTCCTGTAAATCCAAGAATCTAATCCCCGACACTATTCCTAAAAACACCTCCTAAGGTTGATAAGCCTGAGGCAGAATCAAAACCACTATCTGTATTAAGCATAATATTGGAATCCACAGGCGGGTTCCACTTGACATACATGTGCACAGAACTACGTTTTTGTTTTGGATTCCTCGCCATGAACCAGTACTCACCTGCCACGTTCGCAATGGACCAAGGTGTTACTAAGAAAGGGTGTCTCTCGAAGATATATTTATTTCGTGCCAACCAAATAGTCCAGAGACAGTAAGGAAAGAAGGTTGATGCGGGTACGCGGTGAATAAATCTACCACCCAAAAGTTTTACAAAGCTAGACAACCAAATTGGAATTGCCAGCATAGGAGAAGCACCCAATGAATCAATCTGTTGAGTGATTCCTAACTCAGACCATAACGACGCTACTTTAGGAAATAACTCATAGTAAAATAACTGTTAATTAACTTAAATGGCCCGCATTACTAGGAGTGTGTATTCGATTTTTCGATTTGCTTTTGTACTATTCGATTCGTTTTTTTTGATTTTTGGTTTGAAGAAGTGTAACCCGATCCGAATCAAAATAAATTTGATTTGGTTTGATTTTTCTCTTTTCGGTTTGTTTTTTTTTTTCGATTTTGGTTATTCCGTTATGTCAATAACTAGAAACATAATCAAAGTTATATTTGCAATTTGAAAATAAGCTAAATCATAATGAAAGAAAAAAAACTAAAAGGGACAAAAGTGATTAACTCCAACTTTATATATATATATATTTTTTTTTTTTTATTTTTTTTTATATATATTTTTTTCTAAATCTGAAACCAAACTAAAAAACCAAACAAAGTAAATTGTTAATCCAAAATCAAATAAAAAAAATCTAAAAGCCAATTAAAACTAAAATTTGATTTGATTTGATTTAATTTTTCGATTTAATCCAAATAGTGCACACCTCTGCTCATTACCCCAACCAACACAACTGCACAACCATAAGCTCCTCAAATTCTGCCTGTAGTATATTCTTAGTAGCAAAGATTTGTGCCTTGCAGAAGCTCAATATTTGTTTATAAAATTAACTTTGTAAGTAATGTTGATGGAATAATTTTAAATTTCGAAATAACTTATATATTTGTCTGATAGTAGATCACTATCTAAAATAAGTTATATAAATATATTTCCATGATGATGAATCATTTTATTAAACGTAAAATAAATATCTTTAAATATTATAAACATTGTACATTTTAAGTAATATTGATTAAATAATTATAAAATAAATATAGTATATATTTGTGCGACAATAAATTATTCTCGATTTTTTGTGAAATCTAAAGAAGAAATTACCTTACTAAAGTAACTATTAATTCCTAAAATACCCTCACTGGAAGCTGCTCTACAAATGCAACAAAGAAACTCCTAAAATACCCTTACGATCGGAAGCTGCTCTACAAATGCAACAAAGAAACTCCTAAAATACCCTTACGATCGGAAGCTGCTCTACAAATGCAACAAAGAAACTCCTAAAATACCCTTACGATCGGAAGCTGCTCTACAAATGCAACAAAGAAACTCCTAAAATACCCTTACGATCGGAAGCTGCTCTACGTATTCCCTTATATATAAGTAATATTGATTAAATAATTATAAAATAAAAATTTAAACAAATAAAATTACATAAAATTTAAAATGTTGGGCCCGTGCTGAGCACCGGGAAGAACCATCTAGTACTGAAAATAAACTTACACACGACCTTTGGTTGATTAAAAGCAACAAATTTGGCTTAAAGGCCTCATGATTACATATGTAATAAACAAAAGTGTGTTTGTTACATAAAAAGGTTACACTAAATGCATAGAGGTTCTAACTTGGCAATTTTTTTGTAGTGTTATAAGCTCATCAATAAACGACTGCAAATTCTGATCGGATGAACCACCTTCCGCCACTGCCTCCGCGGCTTTCTTCTTCCAATTCAATGCATTTGATTTCATCTCCGCGGCCTTAGGACCAATGGACACCTCGCGCAAAGATTGTTCAACTTCGTATCGAGGAATAATCCTCTTCTCTGTCACACCTCTGGAAAGTCTTATGCCTATTTTGAATTCATCCACTAAGTACTTAGCATTGGTGACTTGATCACCCCATTGTGGAAATGCCACGATAGGGACGCCATTCACAATGGCCTCCATTGATGAATTCCATCCACAATGAGTCAGGAAACAGGCTAAAGACGGATGTGCTAAAACCTCTTCTTGCAAACACCATTCCACAATTTTTCCTTTATCCCCAATTTTGTCCAAATAGCCTTGTGGCAATACCACTGAGAGGAAGGATGAGTTTTTTCGGGGTGGCTTCATGATCCACAGGAAATTTAACCCCGAATTCAGTAACCCATAGGCAATTTCATCGACTTGTTCCTGGCTCGGAACAACGATACTTCCAAAAGAAATGTAAACAACTGAAGATGGTGGCATGGAATTGAGCCATTGAGTGATGGAACTATCAGCCTTCACTAAGTCAGCACGAATATTTTCTCCGATTTTTGAATCTTCATCGACTAGTAATGGACCAACAGTCTTCATGGGAAAAAAATTGGACATGTAGTTCACTATATCTTGTTCGAGCTCTTCAAATGACTCGATGAAAATACGAATGGGGTTAGATAGGTAATTGAATTGTCTCGAAACGACATTTGCTAAGACAGGAAATGGATTAGATGGGAGCAAGAAACTAGGAAGTTCATCCCATTTGAGAATTGGCATGTTAGGTAAGTGAACATCAATGTTTGGATTTGATTCATTTGGGAAATTTGCAAGATTGAAATGATAGTGATAATAAGCAGAAAAACTAGCACAAGATTGTACCCAAAGGACAGCACAAGGTATATCAAGGCTTTTAGCTACATCACATACCCATGGAAGAAATGGATTGTTGATTAGACATGAAACAGGACGTCCATTGGCTTCGTTCTGTTTTATCATTTCAGGGAGTAGTACCCTGCCTAAAGATTCAAGATTCGCCAGCTCTGTTTCGAGCTGGCGATTCTCTTTAGGCTGAGTGTACTCCCATCCATTGAAAAACTCAAATCTAATGAAACCATCTCCATAAGGAGTTGGCTCATCACTAATTATGTTCTTGTTGGCTTCTCTCATGTCCTTGCCTACACATTCAGGTGCGCAAAAGGTAACCAGAACACCTTTCGAGGCGAGGCGTTTGCCAAGTCGAAGTAATGGATTGACATGTCCTTGACCAGGAAATGATATGAGAAAAACATGAATGAATGAATCGATTGTACCTTGAGATCCCATTTTTCTCTAGTGTGATTATTGATTAGCTACAATGAAAAGTAGCAGCTATAGAAAAGAATATTTAGGGAGTGGTGTAATCTTTTCTTATTAGTAAAGTAGTAAAGTAAAATAAATGCTATGTTGTTTGTTTATGTGCGCGTATGTTGCAAGTTGCATTATATAATATTGGCTGAATCCAACCGTGACCCATTAAAGTTGACATCAATTTTCACTTAGACACTTCAACCAGTGCTTGTTATTTTAGACACTCAAAGTAAAGTTATATTGTGTTAGATTGACACTTTTTGCTGAGTTGACACATTATGTGTGATGTATTCGTTTTGAGCGCGTGACAAACTTGAATTTTGCAAAAAAAAAATTACTTTTTTATTTAAATAAAAGAAAATACAAATACTTGAAAATATACTGTCATCTTCTTTACATTTTCACCATAAAATCCGGCAATCTCTTCATAGATTGTTTATCAACTATCGCCGGAAAAATCTTCTCACCATTTTTACCATAAAATCCGACAATCTCTTCCTTATTAACAACCAAAACAAAAGAAACACCAAATTTCATAACCCACACACAAAATTATAGACCAAAAATTGGTGTTTTCATATAAAAAATGAATTGTGTTATAAAAATGGAGACTTTGACATTATTAAAGAATGAATTCACCGCCTTTCTTCTTCTCCTCAATGTGTGTGGACTGTGGAGAGAAAAAAAGTAAAAGATGGAGGATGCTGCAATTTTTTTTTGTTTTTTATTTTAATTACTGAAATATACTTTTTCTTTTAGTAATCAACTAAATAGTTTTAAAAATAAATTTTTACTCATAAGATTTTTTGTTAGGTGTATATGCCACATGTCTTTATTTAATTCATTATCTTTGTGAGTGTGTTACACTCTCTTTAAAAGTTTTGTTGATTGTTTAAAAAGTGTCAAAATGACACAATAGAACCTTACTATGAGTGTCTAGAATGAACAAATCCTAGTTAAAGTGTTTAAGTGAAAAATTGTGCCAACTTTAGGGGGCCACCGATAGATTCTGCATATAATATTCCCTCATTGGTAGGGTGTTTATGGTTAGGTAAAAATCGATCCAAACCAAAAATGAACCTAACCAATAAATATATATTATATTTAATTTGGTTTGTTTTTATTCAAATGCATTAAAGTGGTTTTGATTTGATTTGATTTAATTTGACTATGATCAATTATTGGTCCAAATCAACCGGTGAACACCCCTATAATTTGTAGCACCTAAGTGAGAAAGTAAAGAAATTTTAAAAAAGTTTGCAATCTAAAATAAAGTTAAGATATTTGAGTAAAAAAAAGAATTTTAAAATTAAGTTACTTTTAATTATATAAATATGATATTTTTATTATATAGAAATGTGATGAGGAGGACAACCAAGGGTAGTTCCGTAAATTAACAAAAATTCTAGCTTCAAGAAGTTGTACAATATACAGAAAAAATGTTAAATTTTTGAAAAAAAATCATTCAAGTTACAGTAAGCTGAAATGACCACGTAGTTTCCATTGAAAAGGTTGAAAAAATCTTGTGTACCATCTAAAAATGTGGGCCCAAGTATGTCTTCAAATGGTTGTCACTTGTCAGCTGTCACTCTTATCATAAGAGTTTTTCTCAAAACCTGACATTTAATATCATATACATTTTCTGGGAGTTGCTACTCCTTCACTTCAATTCATAATATAACTAACGAGAGTATAAATTTTATTTTTCTCTAATACGTTAAATATAAATATACAATGAGATTAGTGTGATAAAAACAATACTTTTTTTTTGTTTGTTCTATTTTCACTGGACATAAATTTTTTTAAAAAGAGTAAAGAAGACATTTCAATTTTATAGTC